ACAGCCACGGCGTTAGGGCAGAGCGTGTCTTTGAGTACTTGGGATGAAGCGACGTGGGCCATTGTCTCGTCGTTCCCAAAAGAGAGATCCCAGCATCCCTCTGCTTTGCCGTGTTTGTTCTGTTAACCTGCACCTCGTTGCAAACTGATTCAATTTGCTAAATTATCAGCAAACTAACCATGATTTTAAAAATAAATACATAAAAGCTTTCTGGCGATGCAGCATATTGCCTTGATTTGCTGTGTGGTCAGACAAGTACCAGCATCAGTCCGATGGAAGGGACAGGGAAAGCTTGGGAATGGGAGATTGGGCCCTTATTTTTTGACAGCTGCGGCAAGCTGTCGGTCTAATATATCCACATTATATCTTTACCCGCATTCTCTCATCATCCTTGGCGCCACAGAGATGATTTTAAAAAGCCGTACAAAAATAATTATGCCTGTGGCACGTTAAAAATTCTTGCTTAGAAGTAGAGCAAGTTGCAAATATTGTCAAGGGATATTTCTGTATAAAAATAGTTCCTGCAGTTTTAGAGTAAATGCCTGTTGATTTTAAAAAAGTTGTTAAAGAAAAAGAAAGAAAAACTATTCCTTTTGGTTATGTTAAGAGAAGGCAATGATACTTTCCATTTTAAATCAGGATTTGTTTTGATTTGGGGGGGTGGGGTGTTTCTGCTTGTTAAGAACACCGGAAGTTTTGACTTCATAGAAGTGTTGCAACACGAACGGGAATCGTGCAGGGAGCCACAGGAGGTTGCTATATAAGGTACTGGGAAAACAGTTTCAAATGCCAGCGTTCTCTAGGAAACAGGAAATTCAGGAATGTGAAAAGTATCGTGGTCTAATGTGAAAGTAAGAAGCACCAGTTTTCACTGGCCGTGTTTTACCAAGTTACTGCCTTCTCTCACATGAGAGACGCTGTGGGTTTGTTTTTTTTTTCCCCCATCGAATCTTTGGGAATCATTATAGAATCACAGGCTGGTTTGGGTTGGAAGGGACCTTAATGACCATCTAGTTCCAACCCCCCTGCCATGGGCAGGGACACCTTGCACTAGACCAGGTTGCTCCAAGCCTCATCCAGCCTGGCCTTGGACACTTCCAGGGATGGGGCATCCACAGCTTCTCTGGGCAACCTGTCCCAGTGC